AACACATCCGCTGCTTTCCCCTCATCCACAGACCCAGTTATCTCCTCATAGAAGGCAATTAGGTTAGTCAGGCATGACTTCCCCTTGGTGAATCTATGCTGACTGTTCCTGATCACTTTCCTCTCCTTTAAGTGCTTCATAATTGATTCCTTGAGGACCTGCTCCATGATTTTTCCAGGGATTGAGGTGAGGCTGACTGGCCTGTAGTTCCCCGGATCTTCATTCTTCCCTTTTTTAAAGATGGGCACTACATTAGCCTTTTTCAAGTCATCCGGGACCTCCCCCGATCGCCATGAGTTTTCAAAGATAATGGCCAATGGCTCTGCAATCACATCCGCCAACTCCTCTAGCACCCTCGGATGCAGCGCATCCGGCCCCATGGACTTGTGCTCGTCCAGCTTTTCTAAATAGTCCTGAACCACTTCTTTCTCCATAGAGGGCTGGTCACCTCCTCCCCATGCTGTGCTGCCTGGTGCAGTAGTCTGGGAGCTGACCTTGTTCGTGGAGACAGAGGCAAAAAAATCATTGAGTACATTAGCTTTTTCCACATCCTCTGTCACTAGGTTGCCTCCCCAATTCAGTAAGGGGCCCACACTTTCCTTGACTTTCTTCTTGTTGCTAATATACCTGAAGAAACCCTTCTTGTTACTCCTAACATCTCCTGCTAGCTGCAACTCCAAGTGTGATTTGGCCTTCCTGATCTCACTCCTGCATGTCTGAGCGATATTTTTATACTCCTCCCTGGTCATTTGTCCAATCTTCCACTTCTTGTTAGCTTCTTTTTTGTGTTTAAGATCAGCAAGGATTTCACTGTTAAGCCAAGTTGGTCGCCTGCCATATTTACTATTCTTTCTATACATCGGGATGGTTTGTTCCTGCACCCTCAATAAGGATTCTTTAAAATACAGCCAGCTCTCCTGGACTCCTTTCCCCCTCATGTTATTCTCCCAGGGGATCCTGCCCATCAGTTCCCTGAGGGAGTCAAAGTCTGCTTTTCTGAAGTCCAGGGTCTGTATTCTGCTGCTCTCCTTTCTTCCTTGTGTCAGGATCCTGAACTCAACCATCTCATGGTCACTGCCTCCCAGGTTCCCATCCACTTTTGCTTCCTCTACTATGTCTTCCCTGTTTGTGAGCAGCAGGTCAAGAAGAGCTCTTCCCCTAGTTGGTTCCTCCAGCACTTGCACCAGGAAATTGTCCCCTACGCTTTCCAAAAACTTCTAGTTTGTGTGTTAAGGTGGGCAGAAGAAAAGAATATGTGATGCTGTAGCCCAAAGGGCTGTTCGGATGCATAAACAGTGAAATCTCAACTAAGAATAAAGAGGTTATTTTACCTCTGTATTTGGCACTGCCGCGGACACTGCTAGAATACTGTGTCCATTCCGGTATGGCAACTCAAGAAGGATGTTGATAAATTGGAGAGGGTTCAGGGGAGAGCCAGGAGAATGATTAAACAATTAGAAAACCTGCCTTATAGTGATAAATGCAAGGAACATTTTTCTAAAAGATCTTCCCTAGGAAATGTTTTGGAGACGCTCTAGGGCCTGTGTTATTCAGAGGTCAGACTAAATAACTACAATGGTCCCTTCTGGCCTCAGAATCTATAACCCAGTGATTAGGACACTCTCCTGAAAGGTGGGAGACTCTGTTCAAATCCTTTCTATCCATCAAGCACAGGGGAAAATTGAACCTGGGTCTCTCAGATGAGTGCCCCAACAACTACTCTTAAAATTATATGGTGGGCACCATTTTGTGTGGAGCAAGGCAAGTGCCTAGTTCATGCTCACAAGAAATGACTTAGATGCTTAAGCTGCCTGACTGCCGGAGAGGGTTTTCTGGCTGTGGGTCACAAGCAGGGACAGGCGCCTTCCTGCAGCCCAGACTTAGGTGCCAAACTCTGTGAGAGAGGCGGGGCTTAGCAGACACCACTCTTGTCAGCATCTCCCATGGCTAGCTTGGGCAGCTTCTCACCTACCATACTGGCTTTTGTGGATCCCATTCTAAGGTGCTTATCTCTTCCCATGGATTATATTGGTAGCCTGGATGCCTAGCCCAGGGTTTTTGGATCCCACTTTTGTTCCAGGAATTTTCCAGGCACCTAAAATTAGGTGTTGCAACACTCAGTGACACAACACCCAGTGACACAATGGCTGAGTCCCTTTGTGGACTCACCTGCTGCATCCAGAGAGTGTGAGGTACTTTACCCTCAGCATACTCCACACTCTGCACTCTGTTAGGTCTTTCTATCAGAAGTTGGGGGGAAATGCACCACACACATATGCTCCTCATCTCTAATGTCTCAGCTAAACATGGACTGGAGCAATTTAGCTCAGCCGAGGAGTGTGTGAGTGGATACAGCATCTCACTCCAACTTCCTGTTAAATTCCTGTGTCCCCAGGAGAGCCAGGCATCCATTCGAAGCATAAGAGGGCCTCTGAAATTGGGAAGCTCATGAGAAAAATGGGAGACTTAACAGGTAGACTCAATACCCATACAGCATAGGGCTACTAGGATGATCAGAGGAATGGAAAGCCTATCTTATGAGAGGAGACTCCAGGAAGTTGGCCTGTTTAGCCTAACCAAAAGAAGGCGCAGGGTAGAGGTGATTGCTGTCTGTAAATCCATCAGAGAGAGAAACACCAGGGAGGGAGAGGAGTTATTTAAGTGTCAATGTTGACACAATAATAAGTGGGTATAAGCTGGCCATCAATTAGTTTAGGCTTGAAATTAGGTGAAGGTTTCTGACCAACAGAGTGAAGTTCTGGAACAGCCCTCCAAGGGGAGCAGTTTGTGGGGTGGGGGAAACCTAGCTGGCTTCGAGACTGAGCTTGGTAAGTTTATGGAGGGGATGGTCTGATGAGATTGCCTACAATGGCATGTGGCACATCTGTGACTGATAGTAGCAAATATCCCCAATGGCCAGAGATGGGGCAGTAGATGGTTCTGAATTACTACAGTGAATTCTTTCCCAGGTGTCTGGCCAGTGGGTCTTGCTGACATGTTCAGGGGACAACTGATCGCCATATTTGGGGTCAGGAAGAAACTTTCCCCCAGGTCAGATTGGCAGAGACCCTGGTGGGTTTTTAGCCTTCCTCTGCAGCATGGGGCCTGGGTCATTTGCAGGTTTAAACTGAAGAGTGGGTGATGAGGTCTGTTGCCTGCAATGTGCAGGAAGTCAGACTAAATGATCATGATGGTCCCTTCTGGCCTTAAAGCCTATGAGTCTAATACAGGAATATCATCCTGAGAGAGGTTCCCCTTCTTTTCTTGTTCCTTCTGCTCTTGTGCTGGCCAGACAAGACCTGGTTGGAATGTTTCAAAAATTTAAAATAAAAAAACAAACGGTGAATTTTCGCCCCTTTTTTTCCACCACACTAGTTCAGACCCATCCTTACCCTGAGGTTGCTACCCAGCACTTCCAGCACCTGGTGCATCAAGCTGTGTCTTTGTGTGTGTGTATGTGTGTGTGTTGTAGGACACTGAACACATCTCTGAAAACAACCCCCTTTGGGTTCTAAGCACTCCCCTGAGCATGAAGACATCATTAACATGACAATGTCCTTATTTCCTTATGCTAATGAAACGCTAATGGGTGGCTGTGCATAGTTGTGGGCCTGGGTCATTTGTATATCCTCTTTTGAAAATTGTCCCTCTCCTACATTGTTCTGGCCTGCATCGACTCCTTCTAGCCACAGACCCCTGGCCCTTTCAGAACCCGGTGAGGAGAGTGAGTCATGATTGTATGAGCCTAACTGCTCTCTAGAGTCTTTTATCTTCCCTCTAGTAAATCAATCTCTTTTCCTTTACAAAACTTCCAAAGTAAGCCCTGGTCTACATTATAGAGTTGGGTTGATGCAAGGCATCTTACGTCGACCTAATTCTGTAAGTGCCTACACTAACATTTCACTCTCACTGATGGAAACTCTCCCACTACACCGATTTAATATCTCCACCTCCGTGAGTGGCGTAGAGTCAACATTGACGTAGTTAGGTTGATGCGGTGTCAGTGTAGACACAGCATTGCTTACACTGACTGTTGATGGCTTTCAGAAGCTGCCCCACAATGCCCCTCACTGACAGTTCAATTGGTGCAAGCATTCCTGGAGATGACGTGCACCGCCAACACAAGGAGCTAAGTATAGACACGCACAAGAGATCTAATTACTGTAGCCACTGTATGCTGACGTAAGTTAGGTCAACTTAATTTTGTAATGTAAACATGCCCTAAAATCAGAGTCTGCATGTGGATTTTAGAGCACTTTGAAATATGTTCTTAAACCAGAAGTGTTCAGATTCAAGGACCACAGCATGTCACCTTGAGCCATCAAGCTACAGTGACTACACACTGCCTGCAAACTTCTGGCTTGCAACAGAGCCTCATTGCCGCCGCACATGCCCATTTCATTCTCTCTAGAGCATCAGTTTGGGCCAACCCATATTGGAGTTCTAAACTTTAGCCGCAATAACTGTTTCCGTATTCCTTCCCCAATGGAGACCTGGTGGGTGCACTCGCCAAGATCAATCCTGAGTGGGTTATATCGATTTAGGGAGGATCAGCGTCACAGTCGGAGCCCCAGCTGCAGGCAAAACAAATCTTGGAAGAATCAAAAAGTGTTGATGTCACATGATATTTTTAGGGGAGCTTTCTCTCAGGAACCCCTGGCTCAAATTACCCCAAATGTAGATCACTGATCCTGCCCTAGATCCCCAGGAGGCATGGCAAACAATCCAAGTGGGTTTTAGAGGATTTAGAACAGTCCTCCTTTAAACAATAAGTGACTCTCAGCCTTAACTATAGCAGTATCGCCACTCTATTACAGAGGTGGTGGCACTGAGACACAGGGAGGGGAGGCGGTTTAACCCAGGCCACACAGCAAAGCAGTGTGAGGCAAGATTGCACCCAAGAAATCCCTGTCTTTGCTGTAATGTCAAAACATCAATCTCTCCCCCATTGCTGAACTTTGTTATCTCTGAAGTGACATTGCCATTTTTGTTCTGCACAGATCCATATTACCACGGCCAATGTGGGGAATCAGAACTGAGAATCGTCCTTGTAGGTAAAACAGGAGCTGGGAAAAGTGCAACAGGAAACACCATCCTTGGCGAGAGAGTGTTTAAATCCATACTGGGAGCACAGACAGTAACTGAGATTTGTAAAACTGGCAGTAGGATCTGGAATGGGAAGATGGTTCAAGTGGTTGATACTCCTGCAATTTTTGATCGAAAGATCTGTAGTACAGACACTTACAAAGAGATTGGTCGCTGTATCGCGCTCACTGTCCCAGGCCCCCATGCTCTGGTGCTGGTGACCCAGCTGGGCCGTTACACTGAAGAAGACAAGGAAGCGGTGAAGAGAGTACAGGAGATTTTTGGAGTTGAAGCCATGAGGTACATGATCGTCTTGTTCACCCGAAAAGAAGATTTAGGGGGTGGTTCACTGAGTGACTATGTGAGACACTCGGATAACAGAGCTCTCCAGACATTGATTCAAAAGTGTGGGGACCGATACTGTGCTTTCAATAACAAAGCAACTGGAGCAGAACAGAAAGAGCAGGTTAATACGCTGATAGAAATAGCTGAGAGAATGGTGTGGGAGAACAGAAACACATATTATACTAGTGAATTATATTCCAAGGCAGAGGTGATGCTCAGTTATGATAATGGAAACTTTGAAGAAAAATGCAGAAACTTTGGAGAAAAAGTGAAACAGCACATAACAAACCAAAAAGCCATAGCAGAAGCTGAGCATCGTTGGGTGTTAAACAGAATTAGGAAAGCATGTTGTTGTATAATTACAGTTTATCTATGGAGACCTGTGATATTTGTGATATATGCTATATATAGGATAGGCTGTGCTATATGTCAGAGAGGATGGAGGTGCATTCTTTCATTGTATAATTACTGGTTCGGTTAATGATGATAACTCATTTTCCTATATGTTTTCCTCTTGGAGTTGAAATGTAGTTTATTAATAATCATGGGCAGAATTTCTCTTCATTCTAATCCTACAGCTTCCTATGTTCTATAGCTCAGCTTCTTGCCACTAGTACCGCAAAAGACAAACATGCAAATTATGATCAGATGAAGTCATTTAGATTTGTTTTACAATAACTTCACACAGGAGATTCCATTAAGGATTGTATATGGATGTGTCAAATCTGTACTTTTTTTATGGAAAACCAAATGGTGGCAGTATAATAAACATGGCAGCATTTCCATTAAAATCTCATTGTATCAAATTTTGGTCATTTCAAACAACACATAATTTATAGCGATGAAGAGTCAGCAGGCCCAGTGTAGATTTAAACTCTCCCCTCACACCAGACTCTCTTCCCAAACAGAGCCGTCCCCTACAACTGCTTCTGTCTTTTAGAATATGAACTTTGCAGGTGTGCAGAAGGTGAGCAGTGTCAGGCTGTTTCGGACCAGTGTGCGGAAGGCAACATTCCAAAGGTAAGAGCCCCTCGCAGAGAATGCTCTGCTGTCATGGGGGTGGGAGTTTTTCTTCACTGATACCAGAAATCAAACCCTTCTAATTTGTCTGATGTGCCAGCAAGCGTTTCAGCATGGCTTTGATTTGACTGTGAGTGGGCCCCTAATCTATGCAAAACCATATGTAGTACATTCATAGCCATGCATATACTCAGGGGATTAAAGGGTAAACACTAGCAGACTGGTTCAGAAGGAGGGAAGACTGTCTCATCACCCTGCAATATGTCTGGGCAAGTAGAAGGATGGATGAGGCAAAGCAAGAGTGCCAGCAGTAGCACCAGCATCCCCACAGTTCTCCATAGGAAGCCCAACATTGTTATGATCCAGAAGACCCCTGCTTTGTGCATGTAAGAAATAACTCTCGACACACACCAAAGTCCTGTTACTGCACGGTCACTTTAAAAGATGCTGCTCCAGAAGCTGATGGCTGCTACCCTACACAGTCACAGGTACCGAATCAATTTTAAAATATGCAAAATGACTGGGCCAGAGTTTTGCTGACTAGTGAAGGATGGAGTATAACTTCCTGTCAGGAGCGTCACTATAACATGCCAATTCAGGGGGAAACTTCAGTAAGACCCTTGTCTGAAAACCTCCTGTGTTGCTCACTTCATTGCTGACCCATGGCCATAGGCTGGGCATGAATGGGTGGGTAAGAGAATGAGGTAGAAGTGTGGGAAGGAAGGAACATGGTTGGCAGCATGGCTGCTGGGGAGACAAGGGAATGGTATTGTTGGGGGAAGGACACATTGCCGCCTTGGGTGTCAGGAGACATTAGGTCTAGTAGTCTGAGTCTGTTTTATTGGAGAAGTGGATGGATCACAGAGATGTACAACTTGTGACTTGTTGGTGGCTGCATGTGCAAAAGAGATTGAGGTTCAAGTGAGGATTTGGAGAGAGTGCCATGAAGCACTGTGGGAAGTTGTCAACAAGTTCATGTTTCTCCTTTGAGAATGCTGCGGAACACCAGTTAACTACTTAGTTCAGTCCAAAACTTCCAAAAAGATCACAACAAAAACTTGAATCTGCTCATGAACATACATCATTTCACAGAATCATAAAATTGAAGGACTGGAAGGGACCTCAAGAGGTCTTCTAGTCTAGTCCTGTGCATGCAAGACATGACTAAGTATTATGTAGATCATCCCTGACAGGTGTTTGTCTAAGCTGCTCTTAAAAATCTCCAAGAGATTCCACAACCTTCCTAGGCAATTTATTACAATGCTTAACTACCCTGAAGTTTTTTCTAATGTCCAACCTAAACCTCCCTTGCTGCAATTTAAGCCCATTGTTTGTTGTCTTATCCTCAGAGATTAAGGAGAACATTTTGGCTCCCTCCTTCTTGTAACAAACTTTTATGTAATTGAAAAAAATTGTTAGCTTGTCCTCCCCTCAGTGTTCTCTTTTCCTGACTAAACAAACCAATTTTTTTCAATCTTCCCTCATATGTCATGTTTTCTAGACCTTTAATCATTTTTGTTGCTCTTCTCTGGACTTTCTCCAATTTGTCCACACATGTCTTATGTCCTTATTGACTTTCATCCTATTTCCTTCAAACCATTTCTCCAGTTTGTCAAGATCATTTTGAATTTTAACCCCATCCTGGAAAGCACTTACAACATCCCCCGGCTTGGTAACATCCACAAACTTTATAAGCATATTATCTATGTCTTTATCTGAATCATTGATGACGATATTGAACAGAACCAGACCCAGAACTGAGCCCTGCAGGACCCCATTCAATAGGCCCTTCCAGTTTGTCTGTAAACCACTGATAACTACTCTCCGGGAATGGTTTTCCAACCAGTTATGTACCCACCTTATATTTCCCTAGCTTGTTTATGAGATGGTCATACAAGACAGTATCAAAAGCCTTACTGCATCAAGATATACCACATCTACTGCTTCCCCCCATCCACAAGGCTTGTTACCCTGTCAAAGAAACCATTAGGTTGATTTGACCTGATTTGTTCTTGATAAATCCATGCTCACTGTTACTTATCACCTTATTATCTTCTAGATGTTTGCAGATTGATTGCTTAATTATTTGCTGCATTATTTTTCCTTGTACTGAAGTTAAGGTGACTGGTCTGTAATTCCCCGGGTTGTCCTTATTTCCCTTTTTATAGATTGGTACTATATTTGCATGCTTTGGGCCTATTGCGCACACTAATATCCCAACTCAGTTTAAAACCAAAGTTCACCCAAATCCAGTGTGGGCCTATATCCCTTCAAACTGCCATTACTTTAACCTGGTGGGATGAGTCTTAGGTTTTGAAAGTTAAAATCACTGTTTATAACCTGTTTAGGCAGGACAGTGAGTAAAAGAGCTGGGGATGGGCAAACACTCTATGTTAAAGACACCATTACCTCTTTTAAAGATTTTGGTAACTCAGACCCACAGGACCTTGAATGCATATGGATCAATGTGCTAACTAACAAAGTCCAGGAGGAGTACTGGAGGTAGTCTGCTTTAGACCGCTAATCAAACCAGAGAACGGGATGAGCTACTCCTTAAGCACCTGTCTGTAATGTGTGGAAATATGGTAAGGGCTATTACAAAGAGGACAGTGATCAATTGCTCTCCATGGTCACTGAAGGTAGAACAAGTCATGGGCTTAATGTGCAGCAAGGGAGATTTAGATTAGATATTAGGAACACTTTCTAACTCTTAGTAGTTCAGCTCTGGAATAGGCTTACAAGGGAGGTTGTAGAATCCCCACAACTGGAGGTTGGACAAACACGTGTCAGGGATGGTCTAGGTTTACTTGGTCCTGCCTCAGTGCAGAGGGCTGGGCTAGACAACCTCTTGAGGTCCCTTCCAGCCATAGGCGCTGACTTCCCCTCTGCCCGCTGGATGCTCGACTGCCCCAGCCCTGCACTGCCTTTTCCCACCCCAGCCCCTCCCCCATCCCACCCCCTTCCATGTCCCCGCCCCGCCTCTTCTCCTCCTCCTCCCCTGAATGTGCCACATCCCTGCTCCTCCCCTCCCTCTTGGAAAGTCCTAAGTGCCGCCAAACAGCTGTTAGGCGGCTAGTGGGTGGGAAGCACTGGGAGGGGGGGGGAGACTCGGGGGAGAAGGCAGGGCGGAGCTTGGCTGCCGGTGGGTGCAGAGCACCCGCTAATTCTTCTCCCTGGGTGCTGCAGCCCTGGAGCATCCACAGAGTCAGCACCTGTGCTTCCAGCCCTACATTTCTGTGATTCCATGTCCTACAAAGTGGAACACCTTGAACAGGAGAGGCTGAGTGACACCCCCTCTATTAAAGCCAATAGCCTGGTGATTAGGGAACTCATCTGGTAGGGGGAGAACTGGGTTCAAGTCCCTGTTCAATACCAGGCAGAGTAAGGATTTGAACTTAGCTCTCCCATACCCTGGATGAGTGCCCTATCCACTGGGCTAGCAGGTATGGGGGGGCACTTCTCCCTCAGCCATCATTTGGGCACTACAGGTGAGCTAGGTCAGGGGTGGGAAATTACTAGTTTGCGCATCTCATGGGGCTTAGGTGTGAGTTAGATGTTGTCAGGACTCAGCTTTGCATAAATTTGGGCACTTCAGGGACTTTACCGCAGGGAATGTAGGTGCCTGCAGGGTTAGGTGACAGTGGAGCTGGGATTTGGAAAATTTAAATTTTGGATTTAGGCATCTAACATGGCAGTTAGGAGCCTAAGTTCCTTTGTGGACCTAGCGCCTGATCTTCATCCATGATGAGGAGAATATCAACCAATGACACAGAAGCAGTTGCTGGGCCATGTGCACGTTAGAAAACAAATTACCCGGGATTCAGGAAACCTGAGGCACAATCTGAGTTGTCTTGGCACCGCCTTTTCCATAATGGTAACCAAAATGGAATACTAACATTTGGTTCCCAATTGGATAAATTGTCAGGTGTTTCTGAGCTGAGGTCAAACACAAGCATCCATTACAGGAATTTGTACCCTCTTTCCTCAAGAGAGGCACTGGCAGTCTGCACAAGTCAAGAACCCAATGCCTCAGCAGCCAGGGAGAAACGTGCCCAAAGCACAAGCTGCTCTCGAAGCTCTCCTAGCACCTCCAGAGCAATTCTGGATAAAAATCAAGCACAGAAGATCGAACGTTCATCCCTCCAGATAGTAATGAAATAATTGATAATAAGGAAGTAGCATCTAGTCACCTCAACCAGCTCAGATCCCCGTTGGGCTAGGTGCAGTACAAACATGCAGTAAAAACAGTCCCTGTGTCTTCAAGCTTAGAGTGAAAAATACAAGATGTAATACAAGCCTCCTCTCCTAGTGGCTAGAGTCTGTGGAGGCAGAGGGGATGGGGGCCCCAGTCCCTCTCACTCTACTGGATTCCAACCCATGGGCCCCTCATGAGCACTGAAAGGCAGACGTCCTCTATCTGCAGTCGGCTAATCCTGGGTCTCTTCCTATCTCTCTACCTCCCCCCCCCAGGGGCATGTCATGACTTCCAGTTGCCCCTGGCAGTGTGGTCTATGGGTCTCAGCAAGTGAGAGGGTCCTTGTTCTGTGCAGCAGACTCCCCTGGGAATAGCCTCTAGGCATAGTCCCTCTGTAGCAGTGAGCGCAGATCTTCCTTTCTTCATCCACCACCCTGCTGTGCTGAAGAGATTCCCCTTTAAATCCCTCCTCCAACTGGAGCATGCCCAGCAGGGCTGTCAGGGCAGGGCTTCATGGGCCCAGAATTGTTCTTGCAC